TTGCTCATTCAACAGTGTGAACAAACATTGAGAATGGGTTGCAAAGCTTCCCCTTTCTTTTTGTCAATATCACATTGACTTTTGTATCCTGATGTCTGACACAATTACCATCAGCAGTAGTTGGGGACTGCTGTGACCTTTAGTTAGCTTTTGGTGCAATCAGTTTTCATCAGGGCAAGTACCCATTTAGAAACTCACACAGACGGACACACTAACACCAAGGCGCCCACACAGTTTAGTCTCTGGTAGCTGGCGAGGTGCCAGATCACTTCCTGAGCACTGTCGAGGTGCCCTTGAGCAAGGCACCAAACCTTCTCCCCACCACCAGCTCAGGAGCGCCCGCTGTGGGCAGCTCCGTCACTCTGACATCTCTCCATTAGTGCATGTCCATAGCATCCTGTTTGTGCATGTGTGTATAATTCAGCCTATGTGTGTGTTGCATGCTTAACAGAGTGTAAAAACAGAAATTTCACGTTGTGGGGATCAATAAAGTAAAACTTAATCTTAATCTTAATTGTCTCTTCAAATGTTAATTGTCTCTTCAAATGTTAAAACTTGTTGTTAAACTTTACAGTAGTCTATATAGAATATCGTAATGATTAGATTTGTTAGATAACCATCCTATTAGAAGAACTTTACCAATGTTGTCCATAAATTTCTTAGGTAGACGTAAAAATAAAAATGTATTTCTGTCTTATGTAAGTTAAGAAAAGCCAAGTCACACAATCAACTTATTTTTGGAAGCCATAAACCCAACACGTTGTCTTTAAAACTTCACCTACTAAGATGCTGACATACTTTTCTCTTATATCTTACCTTGATGCTCGTTCTTTGAAGTTTAAGAACTAAAGCACCTCATGTGTTTTTTTAGAGGGACTTTTAATAGGAGTCTGAAGACAATAACTGTTAGAGGAATTTTAAGCATAAGCAGCCGCAGCACCTCACACATCTCACTCTGTCTCCGTCATCTCCCTCGCACAGATGATTAGGTGTGCACAGAGCAGAACTGATATGGAGCTGGAGTGATTGAATCACAAAGTGACCCAAATGAAAGAATTGATTGGCCACGTAATCATGATGTGTGTGAAATGAGCGCCCTAAAGTCTCTGACACTGATATATTAGAATTCCTCTCAAGTTTTCCTGTGATTCACTGATTCATTGTTCTGACAGCTGCTTTATGGGGGCTGACATTCACACTGAGCAGGGCATTAAAGTGGAGTGATCTGATTGGCTCACATGAACGAGTGCCGAGGAGGACTGACATTTATCACCTTAAAGTGATCACAGTAGAGTTAGATGTCAAGTTATAAGAATGGACTTGGAATTTGAATCATCTCTACTGTGTTGCCTAGTTGCTTACTGGACTGGTTTTATGAAATTACCTTTTGTAGCCTATAAAATGTTGAACACAGCGGGGGAAAAAACTCAACTTTAATGGCCCAGGTTATAATTCCAAATATTGCACACAAAAAACAAGGTTTTTTCACACTTACAGGGCTAACATGCTCATATTGATGATGCTTAAATACTGATTTTGCAGGTACAGTGACAACATATGTACCAATCTATAGAAAAGATTCTCGCATGATAACATTTGTTTATGGCTTTAAACACTGTGTACAGCTGAGGCATACAAGAAAACAGGGAGTTGAGATTCCTGTACTGATAGTTTAGTCTACATCATAGCATTAGCATACAATGCCAGGTCTCAATGGTGCAATATTAACAGTAACTGAGCTGTACTGCATAACCTACACTAATGTTATGTAGGAGATAATTGTGTCGTGGAAAATGATCATAGAAGGATGTCTATGCTTTGTGAAACCAGACAAAGGGATGCATCACCTCTGACCTTTAAAGAGGACATATTATACCCCTTTTCCACCTGTCCCCACAGTCCCCTGTGGTCTAAATGAAACATCTGTGCTGTGCTTTGGTCAAAATATAACATGAATCAAGCACTCGAGGAGGTTTGTGACCCTGTATAAACCAGCGCGTTCAGAATGCTCCGTTTTGGTGTGTGTGTCTCTTTAAATGCAATGAGCCCCCGCTGAGTTTTCCCGCTAGACATCAAGTCTGCTCTAGGCTAGGGCCGGAGTCCACAGGAGGAGATACCAGGGGAGAAGAGGGTGTTTTTTTTTTTTTTTACCAGAATCCCACTGTGACATCACAAGGAGAGCAAATTTAAAACGCAGTATTTTTCTCTGTGTTGTAAGACTTATGCAGACCACAAACAAAGGACTGGATGGGTTTATTTCACATTGTGTGGGTCGGTAGACACTCAGGTTACCCAAATATATGTTCAAAAACACTGTCAAAGTAGATTTTTCATAAAATGTCCCTTTTAACATAAAACACTGTTCAAATATATTAATTGATTCTAACTGTTACAAAGCATGTGTGCATAAAACAACATTTTGGACAACTACATTTTTTTATTTTAGATACTGTACTTCCAGCTGAAAAGTCATGTGAAAATATCTTACTATTCTTTGGATTCACTAAGGCAGGCGTACACTGTACGGAAAGTCGGGGTAGATAGGATGCATGACCAAAACTCACAATTTATGTGGATATTTATGTGGAATTCATGTTGCCCCATAACTAAGTAACTTTGCTGTGTCATTGGTTGTTATAAAACAGATTCAGATCACTATGCTCCATGTTAGTTTCCTAGCTATTCAGCACTTTAGAACAGCAACCTGTACATGCACTTGGCTTCTGCCCCTGTCTAATTTTGACAGTCTCATTGCATAAACAAAAATTGAACGAGACAAACGCATGAAATTTCCCCTTGTTTTAACCTTTTCATCCTGAAACAGCTCACGATGTAATTCATGCAAATATTATACAGTTCTAATGAGACTATATTTGGAATCAATTAAGATATTTTGCATAAATAAGATCATTTAATACACCTTAAACTCCCATTAGAGGAGCAGAGTAACTGTGCATGATGTGAGCGTGTGACATCTGCAGCCTCTCTGCAGCCAGACTGTACTCATCTTTGATCCAGCTTCATTATGCAGAGGGAGGCTGACCTATCATGAAAGCTGAGACGTGCTGTGTTCAAGCCTCCCAAACTGTAAACACTGAGATGTACATCGACAGCTGGTAGAAGAAGAAATTATTAATTAGACCCGCTTCTTTGGAGAGAAATAGTAGTACATCTTTTCCTGCTTTACAAACACTTTGCTTGCCGTTATTAGACCAAATTATGCTTCTGTGTTGCTCCTCCCTAATGACAGTTTTCCTCGGAAGCTTTGTTTTTTTTTTTTAAATCAGCGCTTCCCATGTCCCCTTCTCACTAATCCTTTCCTCTCATTAACCTTTCGCCTTCCTTTATGTTTTTAATTTCAATTTTTTACATTCAAGCCCTACTATTTGTAATATAAAGGTCTGTCATGTGTGATTATGCACACGTGTGTGGTAAGGACCATTTAAAGCTTTACTCATAATATCATTTGTTTAATTCTCATGTTTAAACAATTTTAAAGATTTCTTTACTTTTTAATGGGAATCTGTTTCAAAGTGAAAAACTTGTTCTCTTTATGGCTTCATTTTACTGTTTCTACATTTGGTTGTCTCTAATACACCACTGGAGCTCTCCAGGTTTTAAACAGTGTTACAGATGCCTTAGGGCTGACACATTTCCAGGAGTTTCTTAAGAAAATGTTACATTATTCAGTTGAGTTTCCATTTTTCTTGGGCACAAACTTTTATATTGAGACTAGAATTGGGAATATTCTAAGATAAACAATAGATGATGATAAGTTAACCTCATATCTTTTGCAACTATTACCCTCATCCAAGAGTTCTTTTGGGGCTTTTTGTGCCTTTAATGGTGAGATATGACAGTGGATAGAGAGAGTGGGGAATGACATGCAGGAAAAGGAGCCACAGGCAGGACCCTAACCCGGGCCGCCCGCTTGGAAGACTATAGCCTCCATACATGGCACGCGCACTAACCAGCGCCCCACCCTCTTCCCTGTTTTTGTGTGGGGAAATGGAACCAACATAAGACTTTGCAGTATTACTATCTCATCGAATATCATCCAATATTCCTCCAAACATGACTTAAGTGTAGAATGAAAATAGTTCACATGCTTCTTTGCAAAATTGCATGCGATATAGAAGGAATATTATTGTTGTGACCCTGTCCTTGCTTTTCATATTAAAGCTATAGATTACCTCGTGGCTTTTACTCCAGGGATTTTTTTCTTCTAGTAAGGCCTCATGTGAATATTACCTATGTACAGTTTGTGACCTGTACACAGAGCACTGTGCACGAGGTGGAGTATATCTGTGGTCACCTTCAAACTGCAGGCTTCATTTGTCTCAAGCTCAGCATTGTATCAGCATTGGTGTATGTCTCACTCTCCAGCCCTTCTCTTGTTCTTTTTTGCATCCGTACCTCTTCCTATTATTCCCTCCTTCCTCCTGTCTCATTTTAGGATTGTTGTCATATTCCCAATGCCCTCTCCTTCCTTTCCTGGCCGTCTTTCTCCCTCTCCTTTCTCTCTCTCTCTCTGTATTTCTCGGTGTGTCTGCCATCTCGTGCGCTGCCGCAGGGCTCTCTGGCTGATGTAATTTATGCTATCTCCTTTTGCTGGTGTGTGAGAGGAGAGCGTCCTGAAGCCAACGCTCTTCATGCAGAGTGCTCCTGTGGGAGGCTGTGAGCTGAACTGCCCTCGTCCTCTCTTTCACCACCATTCCTCAATGTACATTGCAATGAAAGTGCATATGGGAAGGACACTGAAACTTCATAACAGCACAGGATGGTTAAAATGACCATATTGTTGCAGGCAGGTGAAGATTGACAATGCTGTGTAGTGGGTATGAAGAGAAATGTTTTAGTTATGGTCTAATGAGTCAGATCCATTCTGAGATCATAAGCAGATTGGACTTTTAAGTCACAGTAAACATCCTCCCGACACTGTTTTTTTTAAACCAGGAAAATATTTGATGTTGACAAAATATGTTTGTGTTTGGTTGCAGGACTGCAATCCATTTCTATGACAACAGAGAAGGCTTTGGCTGAGGAGATGAAGAGCGCAATGGAGGGTGACGCCAGGAGAACCAATCAGGTGGGAGCGCAGTGGAACTCACAGCAGCTGTACATCATTTAACTGGAGCCTTTCAATCACTCGGGGGCCTTCCGGCTCTCTGTTTGCTATGCAAGGCAGCTAGCCCCCCTCTGTCTATGCCAGCAACTTAACATCTTAACATCTCAGGGTGCCAGCTATTGCACTACATCATGCATGAGATGATTTCCTCACATGATCACATATAAGGCATTCAATCACTTTGCAAGACACGTATGTGATCAATACGAATATTTAAATAAAGGGTAAGGCTCTATTGATTTGAAGCTCACTAAATAAAAGGAAGGATTTTCTCCCTCCAAGGTTCCAGAGGACCATGGAGATGCGGATGATAGCTCAGAAAAGACTCCCAGCAAAGCCTCCAAATCCCCCCAGAAAACCAACAAGAGGCCAAAGACCGTCCCTGTCAAAATCACCCTGCTTGACGGCTCAGACTACGAGGTTGCAGTTGAGGTATGGTTGAGAAATTCAGGGAAATAAATTGACCAGTATTTTGTGTTTTACAGTATAAGTTTTTAACTATCGTTGTCTTTTGGTTTTGGCCATATTTTTCTGCCTGTAATAATAAGATTGTACTTTTCTAGATGTTTAATGAGACCTTGAAAAGCACTAAGTGCCCTGGCACCTCTCCAGCTACCAGACCAACTTCCATATATATTTATTTTTATTCTTTCTCTAAATACGATTTGAAACGTAACTATTTTCACTCTGAAAAGGATTCAAAATTTGATATACAAGAGATTTACATTACATTTTTAAGCAACTTGAAATCTGGAAAGAATCAGGAGGCTAGAAACTGAGAGTAAACTAATTGATTTAAACTTGTTTGTTGGACTTTCAAGGAGGAGAGTGTTGCTGAATTGCCATACATTATCTTAACATTTTTTGCGCTTTATTTTTTACTAAGACAATTACCAACCATCTGTAAGTTTGTATTCTTCTTGATCTCATATTGCTCATTTGTTTCACCATCAGACTCTGTTGTAGCGTTTTCACCCATATCCCTGCAATCATGTTTCAGGCAACAAAATTATACTGAAGAAAATGATGACCAAAACTGCAAAACCAGGCATATTCTTTAAAAGCTGCTTCAGCTAAAAAAAAAAAAAAAAGGTTTTCCCTTGGTGTTTTTCCCCACCATTAGCAATCCTGAAATTGTGCTGAAACATGAAAGAAAACCAATTCCTAGTGGTTGATTTGCAGTGCTTTTGAAACAGTCTGGTTGTTTTATATAACTTACATGCAAACATTCCTAAAATTCATATCTGACAGTGCAAGGTGTCAAGAATAAAAACTGCATTTTGAGAAGGAAGTGTAAATCTCTCCTTCCTGAATAGACTTCTTGACTCAGCACACAGCACCTCCGTACACCTCAGAGGGATTTAGTCTCCTTGGGTAATTCATGCTACTGAGTCAGGAAATGTAGCTCTGCTGCTATTCTCCCTGTGAGGGGGGAGTGAAGGTTTGAGGTAGCTAATACATGGCTGTACTTTGTGGGGGGATGGAGGCTCAGATAAGCAATCGCCATCTTCCCTGAATCGTGACTGGAGCCTTTTGTGTTTTTTAAACAAACGGGGTGTTTCTCGGTGAATTCCCAGCGCTCTGTTTATTTGTATTTAACAGCAGCTCACAGGCTCCTCATGACTGAACACAGCAGAAAGTAAATCTGCTCCCACACTGATATGACTTCTAAAGGTAGAGAGAGTGGTGTCGAACAGTGCAGAGATCCTGGGCTGGACTAACAGAGGTTCAGTGATTCACATAAAGCTGGAAGCTGATAGGCTGCTGCTGATGATGTAGTGTGATGTGTGAAGCAATGATCTTGTTGGCCGCTCGACCTCATTCACATCAACTGCTTTCCTTTTATGGCTTATTGCCTCCCACGTGGCCTCACATGTTTTACTTACCAGAGCCAGCTAGGAGAAATATGTCAGGAGTCTTTACTGAGGCATCACACACACACACACACACACACACACACACACACACACACACACACACACACACACACACACACACATTGTCCTTCAACTCATCCCCCCATCCTTTGCACACACATTTCTTCATGTCACCTGGCCAGTGACACCAGAGGTATTGGCCTTTGACAGGTAATCCATACAGCTGACAGATGGGTGCTCTTAATGTTTGACCAGGGAGAAAATAGGATGGGAGAAGAAAAAAGGAGGAAATGAGGATGAGGGTGGGGGAGGAGGAGCATAGAAAGAAATAAAAGGGTTATGTATAAGCAGTGCATGCTTCTGTTCTGTTATATGTATGTGAGAGTAAGTCTTCAAGACACAATGATGAATGCAGTGGAATCATTACTTTAATGACAGACATGAAGTCAGCAGAGGCCTGAGAGAGCGAGCGAGAGCAGCCTAATGATAAAAACAGAGAAGCAGGCTGAGCCTCTTATCGATGTTTAACTACCGACGTTATAGATATTGATTGACCTCAGTGCATTTACATTGACCAGTCCTTAACCTAAAACCATAATGTTAAAGAAAGAACTCCGCCCCCTGCTTACTTATCTCACAGCCTTATATGCAAACACATTACAGTTTTGAAATACGTCTTCAACAAAGAATCTGCAATTCTAATTCAAATAACGAGATCATTCCTGTACTTTAGCTTTATTACTTTATCTAAACAGACTCTTCAAACCGCACGACCAGGCGCGGAGCCTATGGCTCATTGCAGAGGGGGCGGGGACCAATAGTGGGCCCTTAAACTGTCTATAGGCTATATAGCATATGTTGTAGCCTATATAGTAATATAGTATAGCATTTATGGTATAGTATCGGCTGTATGGAGATACAAGACGGTGCGGGACAAAGAGAAATGCTGCTGCAGATTACAAAGGGTGCTATTACAGTGACGGGGTGAGTGACCTGCTGATGTTTAAGCAGAACAAGTGCTGATATGTCTGTGCGCATATTCCACCGATTAAACAAGTAAAGCAGACTTCATTAGCCGGACGGGAAACCAAAGATAGAAGGCAACTACAGTTTAACATTCAGTGAAGTTGGACGCTCATCCAGCCAAACAGACAGTACAATAAAACCACACATTATCAACCCACGCAGACAACAAACTTTGTAAACAGTGTGACAGCAATGGCCTGCCGTTCATACAGTACGATAACCAAGCAGACACGGCGGTCTACAACACATACACAAACAAACAAAAGACCAGCATCTAAGCGTAATCTCAAATAATGATGAAACAATTTACCAGTTAAGTTTTCATCAGCACTGTTGCTTTCCTGCAGCTAGCTGGGTGCTCCTCCTAACATGTTTATTTGCTTGGTTAGTAGTGTTTACGTTAGTGGAGCTCACAACGGGAGGAGACTTGCCAGGTCGAGTTGTTGAGGGTTGAGTTGTCAATGAAAAAACATTTTTTATTTAGTTTTTTACACTTTTAATGTTACGAAGAACTGCAGGGTAAAAAACTCAGCGGGGGCCCAGCAAAGGGGGTGCTAAGAGGTGGAATCAATGACATTACAAACATTACACCCCGCTGGTACTGTTTGCTGCCGAAGTTGAGAACCCCCTTGGCAGTGGAGGGGGGCCCCTCTCTGCTCTACAAAATACATTGCCTGTCTTGATTGCGGCAAAAGAAAAGTGGGACTCAGACCTAGTCAATTTAATTTAATTAGAAAATTCAACTAAATAACAAAATGCGTGTTAAATTTGGCTCAAAGTGGGCCCCTTGAGACAACAGTGGGCCCGGGGCGGCCGCACCTTCTGCCCCCACACTCGCTCCGCTACTGCGCATGACTGTGTGCATTTCCACTTCATTGAAAAGGGGCCATGCTGTTTTGGGTTTAAAATCAAAGCATTCTGTGCCACTGATTTTTCAAAGCTCAGCTGCTGGTGCTGAATAGGGACCCTATTAAAAAAGGCTTTCATGCTTTAACCCATGACATGGTTTTCTTGTCTTAACAAGTGACGCATAGAGAATGCAACAATAACAGCAATCATGCAGTTCAAAAAGGGTTATGCACAGACTAAAAACATAAACCATACAACATGTTTTATGTTCTCATTCTAAAATTTCCTCTGCAGAGAAAACCAATATCTCCTCAAATGTGATCTGAACAAATGAAAGATTAATGACACTGGGGCCAAACTCGGCCTCCTAAAAAAGCTTAAAGGATGATCAGATCATTTTATCTACAGCAGATTCTGCACAATGTCTTCCCATTTTAATAACACCCATCAAACAAGTTCCCCTGCAGCTCCACTGTGCCTCTGCCGCTTTAAGAAGTCTGTGTGCAGTGTGCTACAGAACTAAACACTTCAAGTTTAATTTAGTTTTAATCTCTTGATGAGATATATCGACAATGTTTACAGACCAACACTGGAGCAGTTTGATTGAAGAGCAGCTTTTCTTACATGAGCTAAGCTAATTAACTCACCATATGTTTTGACCCACAGAGATTTATAACAAATGAATGAAAAACAGGATAACTTTCCAAACTTGTGATTCGGCCTCTGAATTTGAAAATCATTCAATATTTTTTTTTAAATTTTAAATGTTCATCTGAACTTTTTCCCAGATGCCTTTAATCTAGCCACAAATTTATCGTTAAACTTTTCAACAAATGAATGTGGAATAAGACAAAATGTATCCATCAAAGCTTGAGTAACCATTTAATGTTTAGGGCATACCCGTATCGTTTTACCATAGCAACCTTAAAAGGGATGCAGCATTATGTATGGAGTGTAAAGTACATGATTAATGTTTTTGTTTTTTCAACTAAAACAAGTGGCATAATGCAGATTTCAAATGGATTTCTTTTTCAAATATGAAGTTGTGTTTTCTTACCCTGAGTACAAAGCATATTTAGACAGTTGCATAGAGCCTTCAGTAGCTCTTGAGGGAGCTCTCCTGCGATGACATAGGAATTGTATCAGCCTGGGTTGTGAGGCTTCTCATTTAAAGATTATATTACAACATTTCGGCATGTGATTTGAAGGATATGGGTGTTAATCAGTGTGCAAAATAAAAGAGGAATTTGAGCTGCATTTTTATTTAGCTTCACCCCTGAAGATTATTGCTGCATAACTATTGATCTAAAAATACCTAAATTGTCAGAGGTCAAAAAATGTTTATATTTATTTGGTGTTTACAAAGATGAAATTTTGCCATTATATACATTTCTATGATCGATTTGAATTCTTAGAATTACACCAAATGGCCACTAACACAAATCAGCCCACAAAACTAGTCACAGAAATGTGATAGGAAGCAATTGGAGCGACTCAGAAATCTCATCAGCAGCTATGGAATTGCTCGCCATGCTTGGGGGGCCACCTGAGATGTGTGTTGCAATTTCATTTTGTTAAAAAATTGAATATATTGTATGTGTCACGACCCTAAAAATATCTCTGACTGCAGCCTCTGCCTGCTAATCAGCATGATTCTTTGACAGTCTCCCACAGCAGCCTCAGTGCAGCAGGATATCGATTATTATTTATATTATTGAGAGATAGACGGCTTTATGATGCTTTATTAATTAGCCTGTCTTTAATTTTTGAAAGCGCCGCCGACAACTGCCATATTTTTCCTATTAAACCTGAACATAGCTTATTGTCAGCCCTGTGGTAACCACAGATAGACTGAGAGGGCACAGGCAGATTCAGAAGGGACTTATTACTTCTGTTTCCATGGTAACAGCTGCTTGGATGCTTTGTCACCATAGGAGCCAGGTTTCCCTTGGAGATGAATCTGGCGTGTGTGTTCCTCTGTGTGTGTGTGTGTGTGTGTGTGTGTGTGTGTGTGTGTGTGTGTGTGTGTGTGTGTGTGTGTGTGTGTGTGTGTGTGTGTGTGTGTCTGTGTGTGTGTGTGTGTGTGTGTGTGTGTGTAATGGAACAGCAGTTTGCCAAGGCTGCCTGTGCACCCACAGAGGCCGTGTTCTCAGCCCTGAAGGCTCCCAGAGAAAATAGGTGTGGTCTCTTGAAACGCCACTGATGCCAAATGCAATCACTCCTCATAAAGAAACAGAGAGAGAGAGAGAGGAGAGGAGAGGGAGGAGAGAGGAGGATAGAGAAGCTCTTCCCTCTCAGCGGGGGAGGGCCACACCAAAAACATCTCTCTGAACACAGTTGGACTGCATTTTTACATCACGCATGAAAGAAAATATAAATATGTACATGTATATTTTAAGATTATTATGTGTGCTTGTGTAGAAAATCTAATAACAAGAGGATAGGAAGTGTATGAAAAAGGGACAAGCTTGTGAAATATTGCAGTTATGAGATTTCTTTATTTAACATAAGGCATGCAGATGCACCACAGTCTCCCACATCTTTATTAAATCTCGTTATTATGCTGGCATGGTACACATTTTTATAAAACCTGCACCGCTCTTTCTCACCTGCCCTCCTGCTGTGTGTTCTATATATATATATATATATATGCTTATGTGTTTGTGTGTATGTCTCACGTTTGTGTGTGGGTGTGTTTCTGTATTTCTGTGTGTCACAGAAATTTGCCAAGGGCCAGACACTGCTGGACATGGTGTGTGGCCATCTGAACCTGCTGGAGAGGGACTACTTTGGCTTGTGTTTCCAGGACACGGATATCTCCAAGGTCAGACACACACACACACACACACACACACACACACACACACACACACACACACACACATGCAACCACACCAAACAAAAAAAAACAACATTTTACTTGGCATCATAAAACAACAATATCTTTTTAATTATAAGAGCCACAACTGAACCTAACCTGACATCTGACAGAATTGTCATCACATTATGCTCAGTTTCCATCTTTAATCACTTCATTTGCTGGAGTTAGTGAAACAAGGTCTGGACCCAAAACCCAAGATTCTCTGTATGTGCCAAAACCTTAGCTGTTGTTTACTCTGTAATAATTGGATAGGCATGTGAAGATCTTAAAGTGATTTCCAAATGTAACTTAGTGAGAACTCACACATACACATTGATGAGGTGCATGTTTGTGTTTGTTCAATACAGTACTGTCTGTGTTGAGATTTATTCATTGATGGATTAATACTCACTTTGTCTTTTCCCATGAAGAAAGCTTGAATACAGCCTGTGGTCACATTTGTATTCTCTAAATGTTTTTTATTCATGTGAACCGTTTAGAAAATCATTTCAGTGTAAGCCAATGTTGTGGTTGCGTCAAAAAGCATGTAAAATGCTTTGAACTGAATACTGGATTCTAATTTGTGGTTTACTGGTGAATACTTGGCTTGAAATGGTTGAGCAGTTATGTAGCTGTTGTGGAAGTTGTTGCACTTACTTTCCTTTACAAATTCACATGTGTCTCCTTTTCCAGTATGATCTGCAAACACTTGGCTTAAGTGCACAACATAATTTTCTTTTTGGTTCTATTTTATTAATGATCCCAGAGCTTATGTCAACCAGCCTTTCAGCCAACCTGCCCTTTTTGCTCAGACTGTTTTTCCAGGTGTTATAAAACTTTGAGTCCCTGGTTGACCTTTTCACCGAGCTTTAGCACTTAAATCCTGAGAGTGGCATACATGGCCTTTAACCTTTCAAAATGTGATTAGACTGTATGGCCTTTTAAAAATGGTGAACAGGGTCCACAGAGCACCATGAAAGCTGGAGTGACATTAAGCAGAGGGAGCCGGACTGAACTGGCATTTATATTGATGCTTTCAGTGTTTATTGAAGCTTTCATCCATTTTCTTGTTGATGAATATATTTGGCTTTTGACTAGAGAAAAGAGTTTAAAACGTAAGAGCAGCTAGGGAGTTAGTATTCTTTAAAAAGCCTTTTAAAAAGTGGGTATAGATGGTTTTTCTGTGGTTGAACTCCTCAAAGGAGACTGTTTTTTTTCTTTATTAGAATTGGTTGGATCCCTCCAAAGAGATCAAGAAGCAGATTCGGGGTAAGTTCCTCAGACAGAAACAAACACACACCCCACAGACACAATGCAACAAATCCACACACATGCTGCATTTTAATGAACAGGCAGTCATTGAAAACATCTCTGCGGGTGGTTCTCCTACAGTTGGTTCCTGGATCTTTGGATTTTCTGTCAAGTTCTACCCTCCAGACCCGTCTGTGCTCATTGAAGACATTACCAGGTAGGACTGAATGCAATGATTGGGACTTTTAACTTACAATGAATGAACTCTGGTGACTTGGGTGTCTGAAGTCTAATATGTTAGGTTCGGCCAACAACATTTTGTGAAAAAAAAAAACCCAAAGAAAACAGCTCTGCTGAAAACATCTGTAACTAAAGCCAAGAACAAGAAATCAGCATTCAGAAGTCTCCAGAGGAAATTATAGAATTTTAAGAGACCCCCCTTTTGAAAATGAAATACTGTCGATTGCTGCATCAAAAAAGCAGAGTGGAATCACAAAATTGATTGCTGTTAATTAAATTATGTATCACCTCCTGCCAGAAACAAACACAGCATCATCAGCAAGAAAGTTGACATATTTAATTTCTTTATTTCGAACATGTAAAAAAAAAAAAAGAAATAGGAACATAAGACATATGAATTCTATAGAAATGATTCTAGTGCATAACATTGTAATGTTGTGGACTGACTCCCAAACAAACATTGCCGTTGCTTTAGCCACACACTGCTAGCTTGGCTAACAACGCTGAATATTGACTGTTACTGACAAGTCCAACATTTTCTCATTTCACAGGCTTCCCACTGAAGTCAATAAACTCAACAAATATCAGTAACATTTCTCCTTTTGGTGTTTCTTTAGGTACTATCTGTGTTTGCAGCTGAGGGACGACATCCTGTCTGGTCGCCTGCCCTGCTCGTTCGTCACCCACGCCCTTCTCGGCTCCTACACCGTCCAGGCAGAGCTGGGAGACTACGAGCCAGAGGACCATGGCCCCGACTATGTCAGCGACTTCCGCTTTGCTCCAAACCAGACGCGAGAGCTTGAGGAGAGAGTGATGGAGCTGCACCATAACTACAGGTCAGAGAAAAAATGACGACTTTAATTGTATTGAATTCCATAAAGATAGTGTGTAATGTTGGTATAGCTGATTTGTGATGAATCATGTGTGGCTTTTTGTGTTTCAGGGGGATGAGTCCAGCAGATGCAGAGGTGAACTTCCTAGAAAATGCAAAGAAACTCTCAATGTATGGCGTGGACTTGCATCATGCTAAGGTACAGAGATAACACTCAGGTTCCATTCAAATTTGAAGGTTCAAAAACACTTTTGCTCAATGCCTTTTTTTTCCCCACCAGGATTCAGAAGGAATCGACATCATGCTCGGTGTGAGCGCCAACGGTTTGCTCATCTACCGAGACCGACTGAGAATCAACCGCTTCGCCTGGCCAAAAATCCTCAAGATCTCCTACAAGAGGAGCAACTTCTATATCAAGATCCGCCCGGGAGAGGTAAATAAAAACTCTCATTATCTTGTCTCTTGCATGTTGACGTACGGTGGAGTAGTTCACCTCAAAATTATTGCATGCACAATCCCACTGGAACAGTTCACGGCAGTCACTGTAGCAAAGCCGAGGCAAGTGGAATAAAAGATCATTTGGTAAAGAGCCTCTTTTCTATTTCATGCCTTCACAGTTGTTAGAATTACATCATTGTCTCTTTTTGACTCGTCCCAAAACAGCATAAATAGTCATTTCATGGTTTGATAGAAGTGTTGCCTCTGAGATTTATCTGCACATAGCCACGTGACAACTGACAAGGAGACATTATTTATAGCCCTCAGAGATACCGTTCTTAAAGATTAGGCTGATAGGTCGTGCTTTCATTCTTCTTCTCCTCCTCTCTTCCTCTCTGCTGAGTTTAATATGTGATTAGCCAGTCGTGAGGATTTGCACTTTCATCAAGGATTTTACTTGCAAATGTAACAGTCACATTATGACCGCTCTGGTTTTTTTTGACTCCCTACATTTATAATGGTTTGCTGTTTTTTTTTCCTTCATCCTCTGGCCTTGGGGGCATCTGCAGTGTGTCTTATACCCACTGTGAAACTGACAATGACATTTTTGTGGTGAAAACCATGGCCATTACGTATGCATATACTTTCTTCTGCTGATCTTTCCTCTTAAGTTAGCTGTCGTTTCAAATTTGCCTGCAGGGTTGTCATTGTGTTTTTAAGCTCTTTAATTTTAAACTGTACCCACAGATTTTTGCTATGGATGAAGTTTGCTTCTCTTGTAAAAGGACCAGTCTTATTGTCTATAGAGAGTTTATATTGCTATTAAGGTTTGTTTAAAAGTTTACGCAGTTCACACCAGTTAGAGTGATCACACAAATGGTTAATTTGTAGGTTGGTTAGAGATGGGAAACCTGCCTGACATGGATCTGGATAAACTTGATAATAACTTTCTTAGCACAAACAGAAATACAGTATTGATTTTTCCATTGCTGCAGAGTAAACAAATTCACCCTGCTACCAATCCCTCATCTTTCCCTGCACTCAACACCCTTCCTTCACTCTCTTCTTCTACGCCTCCCTTTCTCCTCTTCCACCACCTCCACCTCCACTCCTTTCCCTCACTGCTCAGTATGAACAGTTTGAAAGCACCATAGGCTTCAAGCTGCCAAACCACCGGGCCTCAAAGCGATTGTGGAAGGTCTGCATTGAACACCACACCTTTTTCAGGTAGGACCTTACACATGCACTGTAACATGCCCTCTCTGCACTGAAGTCATCTCACCCTGCACAATCTGTTCACACTTTGCATGACAGATTATCTCACAGGTTACCCTCATACAATTCCTTGACTCTTTAACTTCTCATTGTGGCATTATTCCCAGGTCATTCAGGTTGATCCATAATAATTCCAACATCCTTTGGATAAAGTGATATGTAACTGTACATTTGTAGGGAGGTTCAGGGGACTTTGATTCTAAAAATAGGGAGACAGCATCAGTTGGTAAACTGTTAATTACACCACTTTTAAAAATGATACTTTAACCTAGATGATCTTTTATTTACATGCACAGCAGGTCATCTTAACTCTCAAAAGGATGATATTTTTTTGACGAACACTTTACAGTGCTTCACATTACGCAACTGTTAAAGATAAGAGACCCCTTCCACGACTCTGTGGTTAAAATGAAGAAAGAGCTAGAACCTGTTTGGCTGAGCATACACTTAGAAACTGTCAGAAAGAGCTGGACTGCTTTGTTTTCTCTAAAGGCTGCAGAATCTGTACTGGCACTTTTACAGTGATTTTAACACATTTTGTCTCATATGCTTTACTCCTACAATAACCAAAAAGTCAAAGTGTTAAGTTGTGGTTTTAAGGGGGCAGGGTTCACTTACATCCTGGACTCATAACTGGTGACTACAAGACTCTAAATATTTTTAGAGGTTATGTTTGGATGATTTGTTTTCCTGTTTTCATTTTTTATGCTGATATAAGTTTACCTTTCAGACAAAAATGAATCTTCTAATTCAACAGTCAAAGCTGAACTAACACACTTTTTTTTTTATAGTTCTTCAAAGAAAATCACAGGAAATGATTGGGGAACTTAGGAACTTTTATTATTAATAAAGCCTCACCCCTATGCTGGGGTGTCAAAGTATTTAATCAAAGTTGCCAGAAGATGCAAAATCTGAGTATTTGTTGTAGATTTACACCGACTGAACCTTCCTACAGGTTGGTTTCCCCAGAGCCGCCTCCCAAGGGGTTCCTGGTGATTGGCTCCAAGTTCCGCTACAGCGGGCGGACCCAAGCTCAAACCAGACAGGCCAGCGCTCTGATTGACAGGCCCGCACCACAGTTTGAACGGTCTGTTAGCAAGAGGTACTTGCTGCCGAGAAGCATTGATGGAGGTAAGTAAACTCTGCTGTTTCTTTTTTCTCATCAAGTTTCACTTACCGTACAATTTTGTTGTTAGGGAATAAATTGAGAAAATTGATGAATGGATGAATAATTCCATAAGCATGAAAATCTACTTCTATCTAATTCTTTGTAAATATACCAGCAATAGAGCTAATTCAAGTCGTATAATTTTTAAATGTGGCCTCTTGCTTTCAAAGGTGAAATTATTATTATTTTTTTAATCACTGTATTTTTACTTTAATCATTGAAATAGTTAACATTGTCTTAATGGGTTTAGTGTCTCTAAGTAGCTAAATTGTATTCAATAAAGCATGGTGTTCATTTTTTGTATATGGTCCCATCGAGAGTAATACTGTTGGATAAAACAGAATACCGGTATGTATTAAAGTATGAATACCTGGGAAGACATGACCCATTGTCACTCCTTTAAAAAAAAAAAACTTAGATAGTGATAGCAAAAAAATGAAAAAGTGCTTTGAGTGTGGTATCTTTCAAATCTCTGAGAGTTCCATTTTGTCAGAACTTGAAAAAACTTTGGAAAACAGTAGTGAGGGCAGAGTTTCACTTGATGGGTGTCAACCATAAGAAGTATGACAACTCGCTCCCAGACATCAGCAATGCTTCCTGCACTGCCTACTGCCAGTCTCCCCTGTCCAAGATCATTAATGACAACTTCAGCATCGTTGAAGGGCTGATGAGCACAGTTCATGCCATCACCGCCACACTGAAGACTTCATATAAAGGCACAGTCTATACCGACATTCAGTCCTGTTAAACACTGGACTGTAGGGTTGTGCCATGTAAAAGTTTCAACACGGAAGTCCAGACTGTCAATGTTCCCCTTTACTCACTTTTCTCCAGCCTCTGCTCTCGGGGACAGTATGGACCAGCTGTCCCAGAGAAGCTCCAGTGAACGAACGCAGTTCATGTCTCGAGAAGACCTGGACCAAGAAGGCAGCCTTGACCTGGACCACGATCAGTACCACTATCAGGACCAAGACCAGGACCAGTACACAGATCAGGAGCTGGAGCTGAATGATGGTCAGGAACTGGAACCAATTCAGAAACCTCCTCGGGGGGGCAACATCCAAACACCAACCAAGACATTGGAGCTGAAGGTATTTCAATACAACACTTGGCTCTGCCTTGCTTTGTATATTTATGCAATTATTAGGACACATAAATGACCTAATAAATAGTATGTTGCTGTTCAGCACTGGAAACTATACTAAAGTACTAAAAAAATACAAAAACTGTCAAGTCAACAATTTTGAACATTTATCTGGCAGCTGCAGTCACCAAAGTTGACAAAATAAATCAGAAACTTCAGACTAACACTCCTCATCCTTCTTTTACGCGATCCTTTTATCACCATTATTACTTTTTTCTATTTGGCACAATTTTCCCCCAATTTCTGCTTTTCGCTAAACTTCTAGGACTTATGATTGTGTCCTCTTCTTGTCGTCTGAAAATCTCGACATCTTCTCTGCAGATTCTTTTCTTTTAACCCAGCATCCTGCCTCTAACAGTTCTTCTCTTGTCCCTGCTATATTGTTAACACGCTCCGCTGACCTCTGCTCTCTCTCTCTCTCTGACCTCTTTGTCATCCACTTCATCCTCTTCAGCAGGCTGAGGAGGCAGGCTCGCCTGTAGAATCAAAACCAGAGGTACTTTGGCCTTGGACCTCAGTGTCTGTTTGTGTGGTTTTGGGTCGTTGTAGGTCATGCACCAGTACTCTCTTGTTTGTTTCTATTTTGATTGTCTCTGGAGGGAATGTTGTTTTTTCACATCAGGATTTCCTGGTTTCCACTGAGTCTTATCCATGGAAACTGCATGAAAGGATCTTCAGATGAATAGACTCCGAGTATATCATTTAAATGTATTCAGACTCTATGTTTACTTTTTTTCTTCTTATCTGTCTGCTGAAAAGCTAGCTAGGGTAGAAATTGATACTAGATTTCATGAAGCACTTTAAAATGACAGAAACAGTTCAACTGTAGCAGAAAACACTCTTGTTTTTTAAAAAAAGTCAACATATGTTCAAAAATGTGTATCTTTAACAGTCCCTGTGTGAAATTAGAGGGATTGATGGCTTTTAGCAGGATAAACAGATGGGACCTTGAAGCAATGTTGATGATTTAGTGGATCCCCAGTTGACAAATCTCATGGTACTTATGCTGAGATGGGTAAAACCTCTCAGTGATTTATTCATTCAATGAATTATATTCAATGATTTTTTTTTATCTGCAAAACGGCTCTCTAGATACCAAATGTAGTTTGTTGTTGGATTCACAAATCCAGTCTTTGTTGTATTTACAAGGTAAAGGTTATACCAGTGTGTGTAGTCTTGTATTATTCCTGTGCAGGTATCTGTGCTAGTGTGATTAAGTAGTGCAGGAAATATTGACATAGCATTAGCTTCTGAAGCATCTGTTCATTTGTGGTTTTGTAATGTGCTTTTACAAAATGTTTGGATGAAGAAGAATGGGAAGAATCACCCTCTCCAAGCACTTATCTCCAGTCAATAGAAGGCTGCATTAATTATCAATTGGCTGACTCTGAAATGGATTGTCCCTGTCTTCTTGGCAGAACATTAAATGGCTTAACAGTCTTTAAAGGCTTGAAAGCCCTGGTGGTGTGGACTGTTTCTGTTTGTATCTGTCTGTCTGTCTGTCTGGACGCCTGCCTTTTGGACTCACCTGCAGCACTTTACCTCTTTGTCTCTGCACGCTTCTGTTCTCCACCCCACCCCTCCCCGCCCTAACTCTCAACCTCCTGCTTTGCTCTCAAAAAACCCTTCACTTCATCTCACTTGGCCCACCTCGGGCTCCCTCATCTTTCGGACAAGGATTGGGCCACCCCTCGGCCCAAACAGGAGGTACTGCTTGTCCTCTCTTCTTTGCATGTGATGTGTGTCATGTTCAACAGGTTTGCTGGGATTACCTATTCCTTACCATGCCTGTCATTTCCTGATGTAACACAGTATGCAACAACAGCAACCAACTTGGTATTCAAACATTCAGGCTGTTTTCGACACACTCAATGGTTTGGTGCACTAATGTTTGAACATTTGCATGTCTCAGTCGGAAGTATTTTCTGTGCAGCCATTGATCATTTAATAACTATGTTGGTGTTAATCACAATGTTCAAGATGAATAATAATAAATAGAAATAAAAAATGTTTGTCCCTGTAACTACGAGATGTATCGCTTTTGTCTAAAAGCAGCAATGCAAGTGGAACAAGTGATTAAAGGCGTGATCTGTGTACTGTTATTTATTTGTGTTTGGTCTGTTTTAGTCTGGTGACGTGGTCAGCAGGCATATGTTTTCCGATCATGTGGTGCAATTACTAAAATATCCTGCAGCACAGTGACAAAACATAGAACAGTCACCAACCCCCTCGAGATAAACCTCCACGCTGATTTTCAGCTTTAATTACATAATCACATATATCGTAATAAATCTGTAACAATAATTAAACAGGACTAGGATTTCAACTTTTGCTTTGTCCCTGATGTGACCTTTACTGTCTAAGCAGCAGTTCCTGGATAAGCCTGAAGATGTTCTGCAAAAGCACCAGGCCAGCATCAATGAGCTGAAGAGAGCTCTGAGGCAGCCTAACAGCAAGATGGCCCAGAGGGAGAAACGCCTCTCCTCCAATACTCCTCCAGGAGGAACCCCCGAACGGAAACCAGTAAGAACCAGATCCTATTCCAGAGTTTTAAGAACCCAATATATTACATCTAGTTTCAAACGGTATGTTTTTTTCTATAAATGTTGTACTGTTCGGCCCTTTACCTTTCTCTCTTCTCTTTCAAAACTTTGATTCCATTAATCCTAAAAGGGATCAAAACATCTTGAAATACATCAAAGTTTGCACAGTCAAAGTTCCCCAAAGATTATTGCCTGGTTTTCTTTCATTAATCATGTATGGTTGTACAAAAAAAAAAAAGGGACATGAAATAAGAACTTGAGGAGTTTAGTGTAACTAGCTAGGCTAATGCAACTGTTTACTCTATGTCAACATAGGCAACCGGTGATGCCAAATTGATTGACAAGCAGGATGCGTACGAAGGGGCGCTGGATATTTATTCCTATATGGAAAAAAAGACCTCTCCTGTCAGTAAAGACACAGTCTCTCTGACACCGTGGACACACTTTACAACAATGGCAAACGCAGAGGTGGATAATACAGCCGAAACTAAAGGGCATCATCATTATTCTGTATCAACAAGGAATGTCGTTCATGAAAACGGATATGGATCTCTGTCGGACAAAGACAGAAGCGCAGCGATTCACAGAGATGACAAGCAGAGTCAGTTTGAGAATCGTATCCATCAAGAGAGACCAACAAACTTTGAGACTCAGCCGGTTGAATCACTCCCAAAGGGCATAGGGGGGAAAAGTGAGAGTGACACTAGGCATTTTGAGAGCTGGAAAGTTAAAGACCCGAGTCCCATGGGAGCAAAAGATTGCCACAAAACTGAAAACTCGCACTCAGAAGTCACCAAAATAGTTCCTCTCAAGCCACAAAGATCAAAGAAGTCTTTGAATAAGGAGAACAAAGGTGTTCCAAACCCTCAAACTCAAAGCTGGTCTGATAGAGGCGTCTTTGCTGCGACTGGGGACGTACAGATGACAGAATCAAAGGGCGGATCCTGTGAGGCAGGAAGGAGAGTGGATGATTATACTGTACTGCAAGCTCCCACAGATGTTGTCAAGGAAAACGCAGGGGCAGCCAAATACCAGAGTGAAGCTGCAGTGTCACATCCTCAGCAAAGTCTGCTTCATCAACAGATCAAGAAGGAGCTGCTCAGACAACAGGAGATCAGAGACAGCAGAGGTACGACAGGACACAGTCAGTGGACGGATCATTTTCAGAACAACTCAGACTTTAAAGAAAATCTTGCCTCTGGCTCCAAATTTCCCACAGCTCCCCCTCGAAGCCTTCCTCTGAAAACGCATTGGACCAGAGACAGACAAAGCAATGTGGACAGCAGCCACATCCACTATCGGACAGCCAGCCAAGAAACAGCCAACAAGTGGAAGCAAGCGGTAAACAATCAGCCCCCTCTAACCTGTTTGTCCATCATCGGAAAGTAAAACATTGCATGAGCTTCAGGCGATGTCGAGCCAACTTGTTTTTACCATCTAAAAACAAAACCCAATCACATGCACATTCTTCAGAACTCATGTATGAGAAAGCAAAAGTTCACCTTCTTCCTCAGCATCGCATCATTGGCCCAGAGATCTTTTTGCTTTCCGTTGTTCCCCTTCTTCACAGCGCTTGACATCTGCTTGGCCATTTCAGAACGCTGCGGGCCTTTAAGCAAAGTTCACAATGCTTATAAGCTTCAGGCGTCCCCTTTTATCCCACCTTAACTTGTCACGTTAACACCTGGTCTCTCCTTCCAACATCTTCACAGGATTAAGGTGGCTGCTGTTGCAAGGAGCACAAGACCTTTCCACTATTTTCCTTTGAAACCTATTTTTCCACATAATTTAAATCTTTTTTTATAAATGTCTGAGAGGGGCATTTGGGCCAAATGTTCTGCCTTGGCACCTCTGTAGCAGCAATAGAAAACGAAAAAGGCGATGAGATGTAATCACAGCCTGCAGAGCTGCCAAACCTCTTATGGGCTCAGGCATTCATATGCTGCATCTATCAATATGAATACCTCTTTCCTGCAAGGGAATTTAAAAAATCTAACCTTTTAGTGCATGGCATTACCATTGCACTTGCAGTCATTTTTATTATTATGTCAGCCTCTGAGACACAGCCTACTCTACGTGCATGCTTCTGACACTAGCCTTAAGCTTCACAGTATCTGGGAATTCTCATGTGTATTTATTTATTCATTAAGCAAGTTAAACACAAGCCCTGAAGTTGGAGCAAATTGTACAAAATACATTAAAGTGTTTACATTTCAGATATGAATATGGAGTGAGCTCCAACCAGTGCGTAGGCAATTAGCTTTAAAGCTATAAGAAGAGAACATTGCAATCATTGTTTCAAACATTGTTCTTTGACAAAAAAGGCTTACATTAGCTCTTTTGTTCTGCAAATAAAAATCCTAGCAATAGAAAGGAAAAATACTCCCTGCTCTCTTCTAGTTTTTCCATGTATGAAATGTAACATGGTTTGCTATCATAGGGATTTTAACGAATTTACACGCTTTAATATTTGGATATTAATGCATCCTTTTTTGTTTCTCCACAGGAGACACCTCCAACACCTGCTATTCACGAGGAGCCTCTTGATGAAGCTTCAGTGAGTCTTCTCTTTGCTCCACCAAACAGTCATTAGGTTTTCCTTGATTTTAGCCAATTCAAACTGGGCTTACTTTTCCAACACATTTTTCTGCACTATTTTTTAATTTTTGTGTTTTTGTTGATAGGAAAACATGTGGCTAGTATTGTGCAATGCTGGTTCCATGGAAGGAACAGTCTGTAAATAAGGCAGAGCTAACAAAATTCATCTAATATTACAATTATTAACATTGCATAACCTCTATATGTAAAAGGTTTCCTGATGCTGTTCAAGCTTTTGTCTTTATTAGAATTTCTGGAAACGGTCTACTTTTTAATTCTCCTCCAAAGACAAATGAAACTGCATTTGCTTTTCTCTTTAGCTCAAATTTCTTTAAAGAACAAACTTGTTCTCTACATGTCTGAAATACTTTAACTATAAAATGTTTTCCTCTCTCTTTAATTCCGCAGAGGGAACCATGGGAGAGACGCCTGGGCTCCCTCTCAGAGGATGACCAGGACCATGACATCCTGTACCTGAAGGAAACCCACCTGGGCATCGAGCGCAAATGTTCCAGCATCACTGTCAGCTCGACGTCCAGCCTTGAGGCAGAAGTGGATTTCACCGTCCTCACAGACCTGCACACAGGCATGGAGGAGTTCTCCAGGGGAATGTCAGAGCTGGGAGACAGAGATCTTTCGCCTGACGTGGGTCTGTGCTTTGGCATAGACTATCTCCAGCAGCAGCAGGGTCCATGTGAGCCTCCTCCTCCACTAGTGTCAGCTCCTCTGTCCAGAGGAGCCAGCAGCAGCCCTCCAGCCAAACTTATCCAGGCTGAAGAAGTCCGACAGGAGGTCAAACGGCCAGATGTGCAGGTACTGTGGACCAGGGTTTCCATTTAAAGTGTGTATAAAAGACTGTCAGATTTTTACTTTAGTATGTTCTAATCAGGCAGGTAACAAGACCTGTGCTATTATTAGGGAAATAAATATGCTTATGTAAGTGTTTTATATCTTTACCTTTGCTTGTTTTAACAAGAAGCCTTTGTGAAATAAAATAAAATAGTAAATGTAACTGTTGTGCCAAAACAACAGAATTTAGTGCAGGATTTTTCTCCAACATCTCACTGTCACAGAGCCACCAAGTATCATGACAGGTCGCCAAAGTGAGCTGTTGATAAGTTGGTAAAGGTTTTTGTTTTCACGCTCTCTTGTTTGCGTGCACAGTAGTTGGTCATTATGAGGGTGAATGAAACATACAGAAAAAGAACAGGCAAAACTATTGTGGTGTGATCACACCAAACATCATGTGAGTCACTGCTTTGACACAGTGTTTTTCTCTATCAGCTGCTATTTTTCATGTTAAATGTTATGATGTAAACTGTCAAAAAAAAGCTGCATTAAATGAAGCTCTGCATTTTAAAAGTACATTCAATAGTGTATGTTGTTACTTTCTATTCTCTGAAATTGGAAACAGGAGCAGACAAAGCCCCTCCCCCAAGTGTCTGGAAAGAAACATTGTGACAGGCAATACAAATGGCTTTCATTTCTTTGTTCCTTCTTTTTTTTATTGATTTTTGTTTCTGAGCATTGAGCTAAAAAAAAAACATTGTCCATCTGTATCTTTTAGGTTTTATTGTTGCTTCAGGTTCTTTATCTGTGCATCAGAAGCTGTCATAAATTACTTGATTCTTCATTTGTCTTCTTTTCTTCTTTCTTCTTCACTGCAGCCGGTTGTTCCTAAAAAACCAAAGAGGTCAGTTCCAGTGTCTTCGTCAGTGGACAGAGAGCAGACACACAGGGAAGCTGGTCGCATCTCTGCTGCCACACCGCTGAGCAGGGAGGCCAGTGATGTCATGCCCACGCCGGCAGTAAGAAAGACGGACGTCAGGACGGAGACTCAGCCCAATGGGTCAGAGGTCACGACAACCATTGTGGAGTTCGCAGATCAGGTATTAAAAGAATTACAGTTAAAAGAGACAATATGATGCACTTAATAAGTTGAACTACCTTAAGGTGACATAATGAATTTGTCTGTTTTCAGGATCATGGTATCACTAGCCTGAGTGAAGTTTCTTACTCTACAAGAAAGAGTGTTTCCCCTGTGAGTACAAAGAAAAGGACCTCTCCATTTTTAACTCAACCTGGAGCTCAATCTTTCTGCTCCCTGAGGATTAAACCTACTTACAGTTCCAAAACCAAAGAATATTTCTAATATGTGCCTAACTGAATGTACTGAGATATCAGAAAAAATGACTATAGTTTTCTCCTGTTTCAATGTTTTGCATGTGATTTTGTTTTCAGTACTTGCTTTATACTCCCAGCATTTCTGCTTCTCCAGGTGCACATGAGCAGTTTTGGTAGAGAGGCGTCCGGGTCGCCAATCCTTGTAGCTGAAAATGTTACCTCGGCAACCACTCACGTCACAAAGGTAGAGCTGTCTGAGTGGAACTTGGAGAGCTTACACTTTACGTTATAATCATGTTTTGTTTTTTTTCATGAGGATGTGCGGCTCATCTCTGTGTTGAATGGAGTTAAATGTGGGCTCTTTCTTCTGAACTCTATTTAAAGAACACTTTTTTGTGTTGCAGACGGTGAAAGGAGGCTATTCGGAGACCAGGATCGAGAAGAGGATCATAATCACAGGAGACGACGATGTAGACCAGGAACAGGTGAGCTAAAGTGAACAAATAAACTTTTAAATTAATAGTTGAGTTCTTCGTGGTTGTTGGTTCTGTGATTTTTGGACTTGCTGAAGATGTTAGAAGATTTACACTGATAATAGTTTGTTTCAATTGATTATAATATTAGAATTGAAAAATGTAAACAATTTACCAACCTTTGAGTTCAAACATTAAGCCATGGAACTGACACAGTACGTCATGCATGGATTTTTTTAAACATTATCATATCTATGATTAGATCAACCTCAGTAAGAGGACATCTTACAAACTAGTTTCTTTTTTTTTTGCTAGAAACATTTTTCATTTCTCATTTTTCATTTTTTAGTCCCAATCGGCCCTCCTTTTAAAGACAAGCTTGTTTCTTGAACCATCATGAATTGTATAATATAAATCCAGCGTTGACTATTGAACATCAAAAGTTGCCCTGAGCCATATTTAAAAAACAAACATTACTCCTTCTGTGATTTATTTTAAACAAGAACCGCTGTTCTCTCTATTTTCCCTTGCAGGCTCTGGCTATTGCAATACAGGAAGCCAAGCAGCAGCATCCTGACATGCAGGTGACCAAAGCAGTGGTTGTCAGGGAAACAGAATCATCCACAGAGGATCGACACGGTGCATCAGAGGTACAGGTGCCATCTTGACTCCAGCAGATAATATCTGGCTGAGATTTAGCCCTTAGAAAGCTCCCTTTGAGGGATTTAAAGCTGACTGTCTTTTTTTACCCAACAGTCATGATTTCCTGAGATCAGAGCACCCCCCTGTGGACCAGACTTGTCAGTGCTGATGTGAAATTGCCTCCCATCATCCCTCCTGACAGACTCGTGACTGTGGCACTCAAATGGAGCCTTTTGTTCATATTCACACAAATACACACACATGGCTGAATAGGGAATCCTGTGAAATTCTAGGTTTCTTTTTTGTTTTTATTCAACAATTTCACTTTAAAATGATTCATGTGCAGCAGGTGGTCATGGAGGTAAAAGATGAGCCTTGATTATATGGAGTGTATGCCACCAGAAATCTGAACATCTGGAACAAGTATAAACATGATCCCCTGAAAGCCTCTCATTTCTCACCTTCTCTATTCAAACAAATTGCTTTAGTTTCTCTACAAGGTAAAAGGGAAAAAATGCAGAGTGGGTTCTTCTTTGGATAATCTGTCTACTCATTCACACTAAAATAATCCGAGGTCAGGAATATTTTGAAAAAAAAAAGGTCCTGCACACAGTCTTCTATGTGTGTGTCGTGCTCTTCTGAATAATAAGAATTCATCAGCCACCTGATGAAAAACCTGTGTGTGTGTGTCTTACCAGTAATAAGTAAAAGAAAATCCACTACATGTAGTTCCAGTACTGTGCAAGCCTTCTGTGAAGCAGAATGCAATGAGCTCTCTTGCATTAGCAGCCGAATGAACAACTGAGCTTTGTCCTGCCCCCCTCTCTCTCTGACTGATGATGATGCAGTGAGGAGAAGGGATCATTTAAGCAACGAGGTCCTCTGGTGGTGTTTCTTCATATTTTTTTTTTTTATTAACGGCCAAAGTAGGAGCTCCTCTGATCTCTATACTTCCCTCTATCTGTCTAAGGATTTTACCTCTTTCAATCGTATTTTATCAATGATGCGGTGTGTGAGTGCAGCATGAATGGAAGGACATGACCAGAGTTAATGTATCATGATGGACTGTGATAGGATTTTTTGAGAATTTGTGTCAGGACTGAGGAGTTTTTTTTTTAGTTTTTTTTTTAATACACACAGTGTACCTGTTGTATTTATCCAAATGGTGGAGATGTAGTTTCTGAGCATGCTGATGCTTCAGAATGATCGCTGTTTATTTTCTCTCCTTTTTGCAGCCTTTTAGAAAATGCTTTCAGAACTCTGCTGGATATGAAACCACTTTGGCTATCTTGTGTAGTAACTACTTCAAAGAGGAGGCTCCCCCCCTTGTGCGAGTCACAAAATTGGCTGCTGCATCATTAAAAGTAGTATTTGAGATAATGTTTGCATGATAAGTTCTGGCATTATTGGATTGTAATTGAGTTTGACGATGAAACACTAAGATGTAAAGGCCGAATTGATTGCGATCTGCTGAATCAGAGCTGACATGTACAAAAAGGAAATTAGGCTTTCTGACAGGAAATGAAGAATATTCTTTACAAGAAGTGGGAATTATGATGCACATAATTAAGAGTAAACAATCCTGACATCCAAAGACAGCATAGAGGCTACAGTTTCTTCCGTCAGCTACATCCTTGAACAGTTACTGGTGAAGTTTAATATGTCTTTATTCTACATATCAGTGCTTTTAAATTAATTTCCCCACCAGGAAATCTCTCATGCCTACATTCAGTATCTGTACCAACATTCAACGAATCTTCTTCATGTTTCAAAATGGCCTACAGAAATGGTTTTATGTATCAAAAAAAAAGGTAATACTCTTCTAACTAAATATCAGTGTTAAAAATAAACTTTGCAGTAGGAGCAGCATCTCTGAGCCTGTAGTTTTGTGTGGTTTGGTGAATGTTAGAGGGAAACTGTAGTCGTGTAGTGTGCCAGTTGAGGTAGCAGTCAAATTGTACAAACTCTGATTTTGTATTAAAATAACTTTATATAAACAAGTGACTTTTAATTAAAGAAGTGCCAGAAAGTCAAATGCATAAACTTGACAGGGCAACATTTCCCTTTAATTATAGTGTCTTTCAAATGAACTGAGAAATCTCCTTGCATAAATCACATTTTATATTGAAGTCAATACATGCAGCAGCAGCAAAGTAATTCAATTGAGAGAAAGTCAAAGCTGTCATGTCAGGTTTATGAGCTTTTACTGAGGTATAACTTTGGCTTTCAGACACTTAACTTAGTTGTCAGCATTCTCATGTGTTAGTTTCACTAACTTTGTATTTTATTTCCAAAAAAAAATCTGTTATGGCAAATGGATGTGAACATCAAACTGGATGGTGGAAAAAATGATGCATCCATTCATACCGTGTACTGTTTTATTTGGTACTTTCTGGTGGATTGTGACGATTGTAAGGTAGATAATAGCCATGGGGATCGATGTACACAAGGATTCACAGACTAGTTACTTTTTAAAAGAGAGTTTTGCAACATCATCAACCATACACAACGGAAATCCCTTCTCACCTCTCTTCACTACAGGGCAAAAAAAAAACACCCTTATCACCCTCGGATCAAACTGAAAGGTCACATTTACCTTCCTTTGTCCGGAATTAAGCTGGGAGTCAGTCAACTAATAACCAGACTGTGATTAATCACAGACATTAGGCTGTGACACCTGCTATCAGTGTCTGATTGGACGACCTCTGGCTGACCCTTAAACTCTGTACAGCGCCCTCCTCCTCTTCTTCTTCCTCTACAGCAGCTTCATCCCTTCTGCTCTGCTGCTCTCCATTGCTTGGTGCTGTGTCTTTGTTGTACATTGTACTTGCATTCCTTCAAAATGAATAAAGAAGACAGAAAAAAAAAAGAATGAAATGAAATGGGAATCTGTTTGCTCTTTTCCACATACCTTTGTCCCAGCTGCTGTGTTTCTTTTGAGGCCTGATGTGCAGCAACTGCATTTTATAATGCTGAATAATTTCATAGAAAATAAGTCTTTGAATGATGAGGATGCTGTAAAGCCTCTCACAGATACGCACGTTTATGTCAATAATCAAACTAATGACATAGTATTTGAACACCTAGGAGAGTTATTTCCTGAGAAAACTCAGTATAGATGCTCTCTTTCCAGTGGACAGCACCAAACCAATTTCAAGGAGGTGACAAAATGTATAGATCTGTAGATATTGATTGCACCTATGAGTATCTGTTGACAAAGTATTGATCCAAAGAAGGAAAACAAAGATAAGTGTTCTCCTCTCTCTCTCCTGCCCTGTGGTAGGCCAGCTCAGCAGTCCCTCGGCGCGGTGTCGGGAGGCCTACAAGAGTACCCTCGCCAACCACCACACCTGGTTTATGCGCAGGGCCTCCGAGCTGGTCTTCATAGCCTTGCAGGAGTAAAGTTTCTTCTTCCGGCAGATGTATGTGCAGAACCAGGAGGAGTTTAGTGTGATGCTCAATGTTCAGGCAATTGGAGAGGTTTACAACAGAATACAGTAAGAGCTTGAGGTAAATTGCATGCTGGACTTACCTTAGAAAAGGGGGGAAAAAAGTGTAAACTTCAGAAACTTCTTTTTACAACTGAAGTTTACGTGTGCCATATTCTCCTCCTGACCAAAGTACTATTAATAATGAACTTCTCCTGAAAGTTTTCTTTCAGCCTGTTAACATTCCCCATTCAATTAATATAAGACCATGTCTTGATAAGAGCTCTTGATCTGAGGCAGCTAATGATGCACTTAGACTGTTTAAACAAAGACTGTGAATGTACAGGACAAGATCAGCACAGATAAGTTCCACACAGGCTTGTTAAATACTAAGAAGGTCTGCTGAAGTTTTGTCTTTAGAAATTCAGACAAGGTGACTTTTTTTTTTTTTTTTTCCAACTTTATTCTCAGCCTGAGAAGAAGTTTGACGGAAAGAAACTTACCTTAATGATGACTTGTAAGGTTATTTTTTCTAAGTGAGAAATCAAGTTTTACTAAAAAACCTCCTGTGGTGGGATCTTGAAATCAAAGGAAGAGATGAGGAAAATGGCATCATGTTTATTAAAAGCAGTTTGATCTGTTCAGACATCCGAAGCAGCGTAGGGTACATACACTGACCGATCCCACGCCAAACAGCAGCTGATGGGAAAACACCATCCATACTTTATAACACGCCATGTTAGAAAAGTCAGCCATCACTGGCGCTTGTACTGTATTACAATGCTCATCATGAAGGAGAGGGGACAAAGGCCTGTTTTTTTTCTGAGCCCAAAATGCCCAAATATGATGTAAAAGTAACAAAAGTGTAAAATCTCAACAGAGATTACAGTAAGGTCAGTTATTCATAAATGATATAATGAGTGAGCCAAACCACGATGTGGATAAACAGAGGACAGAAATAAATAAAGGACTTCAGAATAATAACAACATGGAGGATAATCATAAGACTTAAGGCTCATTTGGGACCTGAGGATTTCATACATACAGTGTGTAGCAATGTGGACTGCACTGCTCAGCGCGCCTCTGTTAAACACTTAACATGAATGAGGAAGGAAGGTAAGACATCAATTAATCAACACAAGCCTGCTGTTTACAATGGAAGCCATACTGGGGGTGTACACGCTGCATTTTCTCACAAATGATACAACAGATGGAACTGAACCTTTTAGGCTCAATACCTTTGGTTACAGTCAGTTTCATGGCAACTTTGACGTTGGGATGTAACGTAAAAGCATGAATAAAATCCAGGCAAAGTTACAAAGGTCCCATATTCTGGTTTGTCATAAAGCAATGAGGCTCAGCTCCCTGGTGAAGGGATTAGTAACAGTTGTTTTTTTTTCTTCTTAGACATAGCAGGGAGCTTTCCAAGGACAGTCCAAAGAGAGGAGGGAAAAGACGCCACCCATTTCTTCTCTTTCTTCTTCTCACTCACATAAATATGAGCTATGTAAGGGCTTTAGGTATCCTCCATCTCCAGTTAGGATAAAATCATCCAAGAAAAGTTCAGAGGTACAAACATATCCATTAAACAGAGCTCGCACAGCCCCACAAAGAAAACATATACATATCCTTTAGTGCATCAGACACCAGCGGCCCTCCGAGGTTAAAACCATTTGAGAATATCCTTGGGTTCCTGGTAAGAAGAAAGCAAAGGGCAAAACATCTTCAAAAGGACTGTAGTGCTGTCACGCATCCTTTCATTTCCATAAAAGCAACGTCTGAAAGAGCCAGTTTCCTTTCACTAACTCCTTCAGAAGGGTGGAGGGAAAGAACCTTCCTCACAGAGCGATTCTCTGTAGAAAGAAGAGTGAAGACACGGCAGGGTGGGGAAGAGGGCAGGTGGAGAAGTGGCAGTCAGCCTCTTGTTGTCATTGACCTGCTGGTTCTCCTCTTAATAAGCAGCTGTACAGCCTGGTTCCTGCAAATGTTTGTCATAGCACAGTCCTCACTGTGAGGATTAACGCTGCAAGGTGGACAATGAAACATGCCGAAGACCGAGGGGCTGCTCCCATGGCTATGGAGCCTGAAATACACAAACAAATAAGAATGAAGTAAATGGTTAATACATGGCTTTCATTTTGTTTTGGACCGTAAAGTCCTTAACATATAAATATACAAATGATATAACCTACCACAGTAAAAAAATAAAAAGAATAAAAGTAATCCTTATAACGTGCATTCAGTACAAAGAACTACAGTGTGGTGTGAATACAAAACTGTAGCCATAGATGGCACTGGTGCGCCATGCTCAGTTACGGGGCATAGTTAGAGGACATGTGTGGTGGGCACAGCAACAGACACAGTAGATTGAAAAGGAAAAGGACACTCTCAAACCACCCGAGCGACTGGCAAAACTCTTTGTATGTCTGAGACCATTTTGTTGTTTGATGATATAGACTTTTCCGACTGAGGATAAGAGACTGTAGTTTTTTTTCTAAGACAACTGTTAACACAAAACATTCAAACTTAGCTGCGAAGAGAGAAGGCTTATTTGAAGATAATTTTGAAGTGACATTTAATGAACTAAGAGAGATACCACGAGATACAACATCTCTGCAGGCAGTAGCATCTAAAGAACCAGCTCCCGACGCATGAATTCATCTTTATTCAAGATACTGTATTTAGGGTGCTAGAGTGCATTTTCACACTTTAATAGCAACAATGTTACATTCCTTGTCTGTCCATTGGGAATTGTCTTACAAAGGAAAAGTCAATTTAGGAAGATGAAAAACTGTAAACAAACTGTTGCAATGAAAAGCTGACAACCTGTTATGTTTTATATCTCAACATTGTCTCACCTGCTATCTTGGGAATGGTGATTTGGCGGCTGCTGCTGCCTTCCCCTCCCTCACTGAAGGGTTTAATCTGGATGACGTAGTCCTGGTTGACTGGCAGCGACAACTCCAAGGAGGTGGTGTTCGTCTCCACCACGCTGGGACGGCTGTGTTTGTCCTGGCTGTACATCACCTGCAGGAAGAACAGAGGGAAAGATGATGGCAGTGTGAGGCATGGCATGGAGTCCTTCCAAGTACATCATCATAAGAGCGGCTTCAGAGTGTTCTTGTTGAAATATATATCTGAATCTCTGCGTCTGTTTCTGTCGGACAGTTCCATAAAAAGTGATGTGCTTTGTGACACTAACAATAATTAATCCGAACGTAGATATGAATTTGACCACTGCAGGAGACAGCACAGATAAGGGGAATGTAGAAATGCATCAATACTGATTTTTCAGTTGCAGATAGAATTGCACCCTACAGTACAGCTCCCCCTTGAGCAACAATCAGAGAAGTTATAGATTTTTATGTGTGGCTGAAATGAT